TTGTGGGAATATTGCTAATCCCATTGTTCTGGGTGTGCATGTTTTCCTGGCATTTGCTTGTTTTTGTATTGAAGTCCATTTCTGGGCACCGACGTTTAAATGGGGAATTACTTTTGCAAACATTGCGGATTTCACGAAACCTCCGGAGAAGATCTCATACCCGCAGCAGTGTGGTAATATCTCATTCCTTGTTGCTTCTCCTTCCGCCCCTGTTCCTTCTCATCCCTTGAAGGTGATAACCTGGTCTGTTTCACCAAACAGAGACCTGATCTTCCTCAGTAAAGCTGTTTGCCTGGTCTTTGTGGCATGCTCTGTCAGCAGTGTCTATCTTGCAGTTTCTTAACTGATTGTGACCGATTGTTTTTGTGAAAGAATGAACCATGTGTGATTGCCCAATTGTTTTAGTTGCCAATAAACAGGCAGACGAGGTCATGCACTAATGTAATCAACTCAAGTTGGCATTACTGTTTAATCAGCAGGTGAACAGTTATTATTGTGGTTTGACCTGTGGGCAATCAGCCCTGTCACAGGGTTTGATTTATTTGTTATGTAGAGCATGTGAAATGGTATTCACCTGTTAGCGGTAGCGAATGCAGAACCCAGGGCTCGATCCCGAGTATTGTTTTAGTTGCCAATAAACAGGCAGACGAGGTCATGCATTAATGTAATCAACTCAAGTTGGCATGACTGTTTAATCAGCAGGTGAACAGTTATTATTGTGGTTTGACCTGTGGGCAATAAGCCCTGTCACAGGGTTTGATTTATTCGTTATATAGAGCGTGTGAAACGGTATTCACCTGTTAGCGGTAGCGAATGCAGATCCCAGGGCTCGATCCCGAGTCCTTACCTTACCTGCGTCCAGTTCCTGTGTCGACCCCAAGAGTTGAACCCGTGACCTGTGTGTTCGCAACAGTTGGTGGGCTGTCGTAGGTCCGTAGGTTGTAGCGGTTCGATCTGTAGACCTGTCGGATAAAGGTCTTAGTGAGTTCTAGAAGTCGTAGCTGTGGCTCCTCTGAAAGGTCAAGTTCGTAGCTGCTACAGTCCTGGAAGGTCAAGGTCGTAGCTGCTACAGTGTCAAAGGGCCAAGTCCACAGACTTCCGGAAGGTCCGGAAGTGGCCCTTCCAACGTTGCTCACAGTAGACTGGAGGCAAGTGGGCAAGTGGTGAAGTCCACCCTTGCTGAGTTAGCGGTACCGGTCCCAGCCAGTCCTAGTTCAGTCAAGCAAGTACCGTATGGGACTGTGTGCACCAAGGGCATGGGAAAGGGGCAGACCAACGAGTTACAGAAGTACAAATCAAGAGGGAGCGCCCAGCCATTCATTCATTCCTGCGTAAGCCATGCGGAAGCGCTGCTTGAGCGACTTGTGCGAGGTGGTCTGCAGAGTGCCCGAAGATGAAGTGGGCTGAAGGAGATAGTTAGACAGAGCTAGGAGAGGGACAGCGGCCATAGCCGCCATAGCTGATAGGCAAGTGTATGAGTACGAGAGTGTGTGTATGCGTGTGGGATATCCAGGGTGATCCAGAGTGAGTGAGTACGAACAGTGTTGTTGGACAGAGTGATGAGAGTTGGGTTGTACAGGCGCTGACGCGCCATAGCTTGTTGAAGCGAGCTTGTATCTGAACGGTGTGTTCGACTTCCATATCTTTGAGCTTTGAGTGGGCGTTGTGCGCCAGTGTGGTCCACCATCTGTTTGCAAGTGTGCGAAGTGGAAAAGAAAGCGAGTCTGATTGCATTGGTATCGGAGCTGGTACCCGCTATCTCACGCGCCGTTGTTGTCCACGGTATGCCGAAGTTGGGCGCCATAGCCGAAGTGCGCCATAGCTGAAGTCACCATCATCGAAGAAGAAGTCCGCCATAGCTGCGCTGGTGGAGGAAGGTGCTGTGTACCTGCAAAGAAGACAACGAGAGAGAGAGAGAGAGAGAGAGAGAGAGAGAGAGAGAGAGAGAGAGAGAGAGAGAGAGAGAGAGAGGAGCGATACAAGATTGGTTGTGTGGTCCAAGGAAGAAGAAGGCGGCCATAGCCGCGGAGCTTGGACACGGAGAAAGGAGGCAAGAAGATGAACGAGAGAGGAGGGGCGAAGAAGAAGAGGGAAGACAGAGCCAGGGTGAAGAAAGAGCAAGGCGAGGTAGGAGAAAGAAAGGAGGAAGAAGAAGAAGGGTGGTGAGGAAGAAGAAGGTGGCAGCCATAGCTGAGTTGACCAAGGTGTTGACTACAAAGTTGATCGAAGTTGATTTGAGCATTGACCCGATCATTGACCAAGGCGTTGACCAAGGTTGACCGGAGTGTTGACTGGGGGTTTGACCAGCGTTGACCAAGAGCATTGACCAAGGCTGTTGATTGCGACTTTGACCAAAGTGGAGTTGGTATATTCTCGGCAAGCCCTTAGCCTATACCCTCGCCCTATGGATGTGCACTCACCCTATGGTACTTGCTGAGCCTGTTTGCCTCTTCTTTCTGCATCGAGTCTTTTCTGTCCAGGTGATAGGACTCCATGTATGAAGGATAGGGCTTTGTTGACCAAACCCACACGGGCTGTGTAGGGCTAAAGGCTGTGTATGACGACTCGACTGACCCGGAGGACACAAACCCTCCCAAGGACCGTGACGGGCCGGCGGGCTGCTCGGTGTGGCACGGTAGGCGCGAAATTCCTGTTGTGGGTTGCTGTCTAAGTCTTGAGAGGACTTGCAGATCGCATTGTCCTGCTTGCGACGTTAAATAATTCCTGAGGAGTTACGGGGGATCTCCTTAAATGCCTCCTGATCAGCAACAAGTCCTGTAGTGACAGCCATAGTTTAGGTCCATTTTAGAGACCCTAGTTGACAGGATCCTACTTGGGTTTTGTGGTCCTTTAGATTGAGTCAAGGTCTAGTCAGTCGTGTGTCGAGGTCTAAGTGGTGAGGTTTGGAGTCGTTGTCTGGTTGTGCACTTATCACCATGGTTGATACTCGTAGTGGGAAGAGCACCGTGCCGTATAGTGAGGCTCAAGAGGAGCAGGCCGACGCCATCCTAAGAGAAGGGAGAAGAAGGAGCTCCTTAGGCAAGCAAAGATGAAGATGATAGTCGAGGAGCAGGCAGTGAAGAAGAAGAAGTTGGAGGAGGAGATGCAAAGATTGCAGCAAGAGGAGGAAGAGAGAATGAGAGCTGCAAAGGAAGAAGAGGTTGAAGAGGAGGAGCAGCCGGAAGAAGAGCCCCTCAGACGAAGAAGGTTGGGGGAAGGAGCAGAAAGCAGTGGCACGAAAGAAGACGACCTGTGGGTGGAAAGGAGGATAAGTGAGTGGGTGGCTAATTTATCGCTGGGAGAGGACGAAGAGGTGATGTTGTATATACCCCAGGAGGAGAAGGAAGCAACAGTTAGGGAGATCGAGGCGACGAGTGATCCCCTAGAACGCCAGGCCATAAAGAACGAGAAGAGGTTGGATTGGAAGTTGCGCCTGGAAAGGGAGAAGAAGAGGAGGACAAAGGAAGCCAAGAAGATGGCCAGAGAGGTGGAAAGTTTACAGACGTGTAGACAAGAAGTAGAGGCCCAACCTGACATCTAGGCTAAGTTAGATAAGATCCTTGGGAGCATCGAGCTCCTAGGCAGGGCCTGGACCGAACACCATTAGTCTGTTAGGGGCCAAGACATGGCCCTCCACTCCATACGGTCTGGTTTAAGGGACTTTGCACGGGATGTAATGACTCATGTCTGGACCGAAGTCAGAAAGTTAAGGACAACGCAGAGAAATTCTGCGCAAGCACCATTGAGGGCGCCAAAGTGGTGGCCGCTGTAGATGTTGAAGCGCGTCCCAGCAAAGAGCCTGTCAAGCTCAAGTTTCCTGACTCTTATGGCGGGAAAAAGGACGAAAACTTTGATAATTGGGAGACCAGTATCAACACATACGTGTATTTGCAACACAGCGCGCCAGAGGAATGTCCTCGTGGCCTTCCATGCCTTACTAGACGAAGTGGCCAATTTTGCTAGGTTCCTTGCGCGAGCAGCCAATTGTGAGCACAATATGGTTGCATACTCCAAACTCACCCCTCTTCACACCTTCCTCAAACTCCTGAGAGAGAGATTCGTTGACGTCACACGAGGCGTCAGGGCCTCTGACAAACTACAGACAATCCACTCACGACAGTGGAAAAGTGTGAGAGCACTCAAAGTAGTTATGGACGATCTGGTAGCCATCCCAGACCACGGGGTAACAGAGACCCAATTAGTCAACTTGTTTTATCATGCCATGCCAGAGCCCTTACGAGGGCACTTCTTTGAGAAGACCCAACAGGCCACTACTACATATGACGCGTTGAGTAGAGAGGCGGTCCTGTTTGAGGCAAAATCCATGCCAATTTCCACTTTCTGGCATAAGGATTTAGACAAGGGAAAGAAGTGGAAAGGTCGTACCATCTTCGGATAGGTCAGGGCCAAGGATCACCTGATCCTTACTTTAGATGAGGGTGGTCCTGACGAAGTTCCTTACAGTCAGATAGAGTGGGGGCTAGAGGAGGAGGACAGTAGTGTAGGCCAGGGGAGGACTTACGCTGCTGCTGCGGCTAGAGGGAGGCCGCAGGCTAGAGGAGGAGGTCAGGGCCAAGGGGGCCGGGCCATGGGTGGTTGAGGTCCGGGCGGACAGGGGGTTGGTGGCCGAAGGAACCGCCAAGAGGGAGGTAGGGTCAAGGTCCTCCGCTGAATCGCTCGGGGCCAAGTCGATCAGCACAACGCAGAGGTGGAGGATCACCTCAGAGGAGAGGAGGTTGGCACGCAGGTTGGCCACAGGGACGGCCTTGGGAAAATTTAGGCTTGGATCAGAAAGTGTGGCAACAGCGGATCGAGCAGGGGCAGTGCATCTATTGTGGTGACCCTGCACACATCATTAAATACTGTCCAAAGTATAGGGAAGCCCGATTCGCTGCCCTGGGGTCAAAAGGCAGCCGCCGGGGTTGCAACTGCCCTTACCATTAGACCATGTGGGGAAGTGTGCGCGCACCACCAAGAAACTCCAACACCACATGAGCCTATGGCAGAGGTTGCAGGCCAGTGCCTAGTTAGCTGTCCAGAGATTGCCTCTGTTAGAGTCTCTCTAGGCACTTCCCTCACAGGTCTGGCAGAAGAGTTAAAGGAGAGGATGCCGGCCTGGGCCAAGATGAAGAAAGAGAGTAAAGGACAACTTGTGTTGGTAGATTTAGAAGTT